CTTGGAGACTATACTTACCTTTCGGAAAGCTGGCGGATCTGTGGGATCCCCATATATTTGTTGAAATGTTCCAGCACGTTGACAACACCTTGTAGAAGGTTAGCAAGCTCTCCGTACTGCCTCCTCCTGGTCATCGCCCTAGGGTAAGCAGAAAAGGAAGGGTAGTGACGTGAGTGAGGCCGGTGCCCGTGATTTCCCTCCATCCATGGGGCTTCATTCTTTCGCTACGCTCAAATCATGCACGGGGGTCCCCACCAGAGACCAAATCACTAACCACCTAACCCCATGAAACACCACGAAAACTTTCAAAAAAATGTACAGGTACTCCTCAAAATTCCTTCTTATTTGAATTCTTCCTATCATCATCTTCATTGAACAACTCCATAATCCCTTGCATCGGGGTGGAGTCTGGGCAACTGAATGGAGCTGAGTGTTTACTGGCCCGATGCCCTTCCTGTTGCTAATGAGGAGTTTCGTTCGGCAGATATATCCTCATTGTGCCGAGAGAGAGAGAGAAATATCTACCTCCACATTAGGATCAAACTCACAGCCTCCGGATTGTGAGGTGAGAGCTCCGCCTCTAGGCCACCGCACCATTTTGAACTCTTCCTATACAACGGTATAAGGCCGCGACGGCAAACCTATGGCGCGCATGACAGTGATTCAACTGTCAGGGCTCCAGCAGTTACCCCCATTTAAATCATGAGTCTGTAGCCAGATTTTCATAACTTAAAAAGATTTATTAGGACTAAAACATGCCGGCGCGGCCTGGGTGTAGCCGACTCTGAGACGCATCATTTACCGTCGCCCTTGACCCTGGTTTTCTCCCACCCCCTGGGTGTATCATAATTCATATTCTCCAATGGGACATGTCCATAGCCCAGAGTCATCAATCATACTCGCCTGTTAGAATTTTGCGCGGCAGATACTTCAATCACCTAGTTACAATCTTTGAAAAACTATTTATGGAATGCACTTTCAGTTCCCAAGCTGCCGCACTGCTCTTTCAAACCCCTTCCCTCCCCCCCTCCCTTTCCGTTGGCAACTCTAAACAGATCACAGAAATATTTGATGAGTTGACATCAACTTCACAACGGTGGCAAGAAAGGCTGCAGTAGGGGGCAAAACTTAACCAAGGTCTCCCTTAACAACAGAAATGTTGGGGCTCCAACTGTGCTCGTAAGCCGAGGATCACCTGCATAGGTAGTCCTCGACTTGCGATGAATCACTTGGCCAACCCTTAAAAGTTATGACAGATCCCAGATAACTCACTCCAGGGAATCCACTCCCCCAGCTAACATGTGGAGGTGGTTCAGCGTTGTGATGGAGGTGGTCAGGTGGCGTTTGGCGTGGTCCAGTTGCTTGATGTCCCGCGTGATTTCTTTAACCTGTTAGAAGACGGAAGCACACACAGGTATTTAGCAAAAGATTCCAGAGACAGGATGACCCAGGGCGTGACACAAAAATAACAAAGTCACCAAAGTAGAATAAATTCTCTTTAATGCTTCCAACTTGGTCCCCAATGTCCAATTATCCTCGGGTGGATATCAAACTCTTCCAAAAAAAAAACAGTCTAAGAAGGGCAGAAATGCAATCCGAACCCAAAGTAAAGATAATTAGAAATTAAAAAAAAACACGCAAACTACACTGAAGTAATTAACATGGCAGGCTAGGATGATAAATTGCAGGCTTCCAACAGATAACGCATCACCCACAGTTGGGAGGACGCCAAAACCCAGATAAGCCTCAACAAAGATAGGTGCTGTGTGCAAATGCCCCACTTATATCCTGTTCTCCCAGCTGCAACTAATGAAGGGAATCAGGGCCCTTTCCTCTCCCGTAAGCCACGTTGCTCCCCTCTCTGTTCCTCCCTGTGTGCCCTAGGATGAAGAGGGGGTGCGCCTGGGTCTTCTTCTGAATACCCAGCTGGGCTGTGCCCCTCCCCCGTTTCCTCCACAGCCACCGGAGCCACACTCCCACTCCCTGTCAGCTTGTCACTCTCACCCTCAGAATCAAGACTCCCAACAAGGGCATGACACCTCCTTTCTAACTGTGGGCTTTGGTGAAATGAAAAAGAGAAGCAATCCACAAAATAAGGGAAGGGGACTTCGGAGATCATCTAGCCCCGCCCCGCCCCAAGTTATATGCTGGGGTGGAAGTAGAGTAGAAAAATCAGGCTTTTAGCTCCTGTTTTCTCAGAAGTGTTGATGTTCAAAAAGTTCTGGTACCATCCAACTCACCCTGGGCTTCAATGTAATAAATCATATAAACATCAAATACTGCCTACAGTTTGTTATTCCTTTACTCTTTCCTCCCTCCCTCCCCTCCAATATCCCTTTTTTCTCTTCCTTTCCCTTATTCTTTCTTTCCTTCCTTCCTTCCTTCCTCTTCCTTTCCCCAATTCCCTCTCCCTTCATTTCTTGTCCTATCCTTCCCTCCCCCATCCCTTTTCCTTCCTTCCTCCCTCCCTGCCTCTCACAATTTTCCTTCCTTCTCTTAACCCTTCATCTTTCCCTTTCTCTTCCTTCCTTCCTTTCTTCCTCCCTCCCATTCTACCTATCCCCTCCTCCCTCCTTCCTCTTGTAATCATTCTCCCTTCCTTCCTTCTTTCTCTTAACTCCTCCTTTCCTTCCTTTTTTGCGTTTTCCCCTTTCTTCCTTCCTCTTCCTCTCGCCCTCCCTCTCTCTCTCAATTTTCCTCCCTTCTGTTATCCCTTCATCCGTCCCTTCCTCTTTTTCCCTTCCTTCCTCCCTCCTTCCTACCATTCTCCTCCCCCTTCCCCTTGTTTTCACCATTCTCTCTTCCTTCTTTCTATCATTTCTTTCCTTCCTTCCTTCCTCTGCTTCTTTTCACCATTCTCTCCTCCTCCTTCTATCGTTTCTTTCCTTCCTTCCTTCCTCTGCTTCGATCCATAGATTCCTAAGCAACAAAGACCATTCGTACAGCAGCCAAGAGTTATCAATCGCACCCTCTATAAGCATCAAGGAGAAACAATACAGCGCTCACCATCTGCTCCGATTTTTCGGCTTTATCCTTAATGTCTTTAATCTTGCCAAAGAGCTGCTGGATGGCTTTCTGGGCCTCTTCAAGAGCCTGGCGAAAGATTTGGGATGGGGGAGGGGAGAAGAAACATATTGAACATTGAGGATCCCGCCAATTGAGCCATCCTCTTGCTGGGTACCTAGAATTCAAGTTGGCCAGGCCAGGATGAGCCATGCAACAAATTTCCTGAGTCAGGTGGGGGGAATTACATCTTTGCATTCTTCCTTTATCACAGGAATGGAGAACCTGGGCGCTTTTATGACTGGTGGACTCCAACTCCCAGAATTCCCCAACCATCATGCTTTAAGATGGATGGACTTCCACTCCCAGAATTCCCCAGCCAGCCTGCTTTAAGAGGGGAGGACTTCCACTCCCAGAATTCCCAGCCAGGATGCTTTAAGATGGATGGACTTCCACTCCCAGAATCCCCCAGCCAGCCTGCTTTAAGATGGATGGACTTCCACTCCCAGAATCTCCCACCCAGCCTGCTTTAAGAGGGGAGGGCTTCCACTCCCAGAATCCCTCAGCCAGCCTGCTTTAAGAGGGGAGGGCTTCCACTCCCAGAATCCCCCAGCCAGGATGCTTTAAGAGGGGTGGACTTCCACTCCCAGAATCCCCCAGCCAGGCTGCTTTAAGAGGGGAGGACTTCCACTCCCAGAATCCCCCAGCCAGCAGGCTTGAAGATGGATGGACTTCCACAATTCCCTTGACGGCATGACTTGAGAAGGGTGGACTTCAATCCCCAGAATTCTCCAGCAGGAAGTCTTTAAGCAATATGGAAGTCCCCGCGGATTAAAGTATGCCGGCAGAGGAATTCTGGGAGTTGAAGTCCACCCCTCTTAAAGGAGCCCAGATTGAGAGACGCTGGATTATGGTATTCAAAATGATCCACCGAGCAACTTAAGAGCCAACGCATTTCGAGCAAAAAATGATACCTCTCGCCCAATTTCCCCAAGGCTCAGTCGAGGTGAACCCGAGCGCCCCCGGATCCATTTCCCAGAATTCCTCCGCTCTATCACAGGGCATCATGGGAGACCAAAGAGGCTTTGAACCAGCTGCCAGCATGCCACCGAGGGATTCACCTGGGTAATTTCCCATCTGAATGGAAGTGAAATGGAAACCCAGGGAGGGTTTTTTGGGGAAGGAGGGAACACCCTCAGCTGCACTAGCTACAAATTCTGGCCCGGCCAACCGCCGCTGTAAGGGGATCTGTTTTCCGCAACCCCTGCCAAGGCATCAGGCCCAGCCGCCGTCTGGAACTGCGAAGGAAAACCCGACATGACACCCCGTTCTGGAATGCTATGGCGCTGATATCTCCTCCTCGCTTGGGAAGGGGCCACCAGACACGCAGGTTGGCGGAAATTCTCCCTCTTTTTCTTTTTGTCCCAGTGTCTTCTGCAAATTTTGTGCAAGCCGAAACAGAGCCTGCCCCCTGCCCCCCCCCCAAAAATGAATAAAATAAATGCAAAAAGGGAGCGAGGAGTGTTGAGGAGAAACACACTGAAAGCAAGGAGCAGGCACTATTTGGAATTACAGGTAGTCCTCGAACTTACCCCGTTTCCCCCAAAAATACAACTTACCCTGAAAGTAAGCCCTAGTTTGATTTTTTTTTTCACATGCTCCCAATATAAGCCCTACCCTCAAAATAAGCCCTAATCCCCCCTAAGATCCCAACCACTCCAGACTGGACAGGTAAAAATTAAGCTAGGGTGAGGATGAGAGGTGGAGCTGCCCTACTACTTACCTTTGGACAGTTGTAGCCAGGTCTCGCACACCCCGACACCTGCCTTGCCGGCCCATTTCTTCTGCAGCCAGCAAGGCTGGGTAAGGCTTTCCTGAAGGCCTCTGGAGCTGATAACAAAGCTCTGGATCGATCCTGAGCTCTGTTATCGGCCGCAGAGGCCTTCAGGAAGGCCTTGCCGGCTGCAGACGAAGAAGTTCCTGAAGGCCTCTGACCGCGAAAAGGAAGCCGGGTGCGACACGCGCAAGTGAGGTTATAGTCAGTAGATGACATCCCCTGAAAATAAGACCTGGTGGGTTTTTTTGGTGGCAAAAAAAAATTATAAGACAGGGTCTGTATAACAATCCATTTGGCGACGGTTCTAAATTATAACAGCACTGAAAAGAGGGGAATTTGACGTTTCAACAGTATTAGGGAAAAAGTTTTTCACGCTTAAAAGCATTGCAGCATCCCCGTTGGTCACGTGATCAAAACTTAAGAGGCTTGGCCGCTGACTCATATTTATGATGGCTGTGGTGTCCAAAAGTGGTGTGATTTCTCCTTTTGCAAACTTCTGACAAGCAAAGGCAATGAGGAAAGCCGGATTCACACAACAGCTGTGTTGTTAATTTAACAACCGCAGTGATTCCCTTAACAGCTGTGGCAAGAAAAGGTTGTAAAATGGAGCAAAATCCACTTAACAACCATCTTGCTTGGCAGCAAAGGGTTTGGGCTCGATTGCGGTCGCAAGTCGAGGACTAACTGTGCATGGCCGGCTGGAACGCTGAATCGCACGGCCATGTTTTCTTATTAAGTAATATTTTTGAGGGTTCAAAGATGATGTAGAGGAAAGATATACCCAAAGAACTTGCTGTGACTAAGGACTGTGAACAGATCAGATCAAAAGAAGCAATTCATCATTATATCTTTTACTAGCTCGATATCCGTGCTTCGCTACAAAACTATGTGGCCGGGCTTAGTTTTGGGGGAGGAAAATAAGGAAAAATAAATTCTGCCTCTGCCTACCAGCATCCATCGGTATTCATCAGGCTAGCGTCCTGTCAGGGTGTGAGAGAGTTGAGGGCTGTTTGGAAACTGAAACAGTATTTGCTGTGTGAGCAAGAAGGAGACAGGAAGGAGCCTGGGCGTGGCTTAGCTCAACTGTTCTGTACTAAAGATGCTTTTGTGCTGTGAAACTGAAACTCCTCTCCTCTGCTTGTGTTTTGCATTTGGAAGAGATTTCTTTCCAGGTGGGGAGGGGGAGTAGAACTCCTTAGCATCAGAGCGTGTTAATAATAACAATATAAGAAATACTAATAGCTCTGATGGTCATTTGGAAAAATCCTTTCTTAGTGAGCCCCTAGAAGCCAAGAGGAACATCCGTGCCAAATTTCAAGTTTGTAGGCTTTACAGTTCTGGAGATTTTGTGATGATGCATTTTGCCTTTATATATATATAGAAAAAAGAAGATGAAGATAGAAGAAGAAGGAGAAGGAGAAGAAGATGATTTCACGCAGAGATGAGAACTTACCTCCCGGCCATCTTGTCCCACATTGGTCTGGGCTCTTACCACCGTCCGAATATTATCATCCAATCGTCTGGAAAGGAAAGGAAATATATAAAAAGGCTAAAAATAATTCAACAAATCTTTTTTTTTTTTGATTCAGCAAAAGGTTGTCGAGATATTCTTAAATCTAATAAGACTCTGAGACATTTCAAGCTTTAACAATAATTGCCCTTGGCAATGCACTTTTAAGATTGGAAGTTTATTCCAGGAGACTGAGCTAATCCGAAAAGGAGAACTGGAATAATCTCTTGACAAGGTCAAGTAATCCTACGGCATTGATAAAAAGGCAATAAACCGTTATCAACTTTAAAATGTGTGAACTTCAATTCCCGGAATTCCCCAGCCTGCATGCTTTAAAGATGGGCGGACTTCCACTCCCAGAATCCCCTAATCAGCATGCTTTTGATTCGAAGGATTTCCACTCCCAGAATCCCCCAGTCACCCTGCTGGAAGACGGGTGGATTTCAACTCCCAGAATTCCCCAACTAGCATGTTTGAAGGTGGCTGGAATTCAAATCCCAGAATTGTCCAGGCAAAGCAGCTGGCTAGGGAATGCTGGGAATTGAAGTTCACACAACTGTGTATCGTCTCTGGTGTAGATGTTCCATTTTAAGGGAATAAAAAAATTGTTTCCCTCTTTCCTAGAAGGGAACGCAAACCCACCCTCGCTTACCTTATTTTCAATCTGATTTTGTTCACTACATCGTCGATATTGGCCAGAGACTGTAAGAGAAAAATCAGGACTTATTTTTTTTCCATTATGCACCATCGACTGAATCGGATTCCCAGTCTGCATTCGTCAAACATATAGTATTTATCAGAAATTGTTCTGTCGGGAAATTTCACCTTAATTCTAGGTTGCTTCTCTCTTTGATTCGTTTCCAAGATGCAACTGAACAACTTGCTTCTAAAAGTTGTGAATTCTCCAACGCTGGAAGTTTTTAAGAAGAGATGTAGGGTTTCCCGCCTGAGAAGTGAGTTGGACTAGAAGACCTCTAAAGTCCCTTCCAACTCTGTTATTCTGGTACTCTGAAATATTTATTAGTCCATTTTACAAGGCTTAGGGGCAGCTCCAATTAATCAACTCTGAGCAGCCTGCCTGTCCCCCAAACCATTCGTGGGTCCAAAACTAGATAAACCATCAAAATCCAAATTTTGCCCCGATTTATAGTATTATAAATAATACAGTCAATTAACATAACTTCTTCCTAGCACTATGACACGATTCGCTTGCAGTCAATACTGTGCATTAAATATTAAAACCTTAAAATAGCATGTCATTCAGGAAGCATCCAAATTGCAATGAATTGGCTGCAGGGTGACGTTAACAGTTTAACAGATAATCAGAGTTAGAAGGGACCTTGTAGGTCATCTAGTCCAACCCCCTGCCCAAGCAGGAGACCCTACACCATTTGTGACAAATTGTGAGTATAGGTGTGAGTATAGGTCACAAGTCACTTTTTCTGAGGCTGTCATAACTTTGAACCATTGCTAAAAGGTTCAAACCCTGAGCCCTGGTGGCGCAGTGGGTAAACTGCAATATTGAAGGCTAAACTCTGCCCATTACCAGGAGTTCGATCCTGACCGGCTCAAGGTAGCTTTCCATCCTTCTGAGGTCGGTAAAACGAGGACCCAGATTGTTGGGGGCAAAAGGTTGACTCTACAACCCACTTAAGAGAGGGCTATAAAGCTCTGTGAAGCGGTATATAAGTCTAAGTGCTCTTGCTATTCCTGTTTGAAAGGTCACTAAACGAATGACTGTAGGTCAAGGAGTACTTGTATACAAGAATCAAGTCAACTAACGGTCAGCACCAAATGGGTGCTAGATAAGAGTCAATGGAATTGAAGAAGGGTTGAACTTAGACCATTTGTGGGAACGTAACAATTCCAGGCTGATTCCTCTCTTGACTCCGCCCACCCACCCAGGCTCCCTGTCCTTCTATATGAAGTGATAGTTCCAGTATTGTGCCTTTAGAAGCCCTGCTGGTTAGAATCCAGAATTGCAGCCTGACTCTGCCCACTGGCAGCAGTTCGATCCTGACTAGGCTCAAAGGTTTACTCAGTCTTCCATCCTTCCGAGGTCAGTAAAATGAGGACCCAGATCATTGGGAGCAAGAAGCTTTACTTTGTAGACTGCTTAGAAAGGGCTGCAAAGCAATACGGGGCGGTATGTAAGTCTAAGTGCTATTGCTACTTAAACACTCATTAGCCTGCTTGTACTTTCTGATAGGCCTCATTTGCAGTCTCAGAATTGCACCAATAAAGACAACCGGACTTTCTGGTTTTTCTTTTGACAACGTTTAGCTTCTCATCCAAGCAGCTTATTCGGCTCTGACTGGATGGTGGGGAATGGAAGGATTTACACTCCTTGCAGACAGCTGGTCATTTGCATCTTTTTAGAAAGTCGTTGAGGCCGCTTGGAGGTTTATCTGTGTCCTCAGAGGTCAACCTGAGTGGTGCAAATGGGTGTGGAGCCTTCTTGGAACTGTTGAAAGGACTGTGTTGTAGGCTAGAGATACATGATGTTGTATCCCTCCCAGTCTTGTTGACAGAGGGGTGTTCAATTTGAAGATAGATGGCCTCTTTGACCCCTCTTTCAAACCAGCAGAACCTCTCTGTCCAACATGTGGACTTTGCTGTCTTCAAAAGAGCGGCCTTTGTCTTGTAAATGCAGGTGGACTGCTAAATCTAGTCCTGATTAGTTTGTCCTAAGGCTATGTTAGCCTTAACGACTTGCCAAAACGATGACCAGCTGTCTGCAAGGAGTGTAAATCCTTCCCTGTCCCCACCATCCAGTCAGAGCTGAAGAAGCTTCTCGGATGAGAAGCGAAACATCTTCAAAGAAAAACAAGAAGTCCAATTGCCTCCTGAAAAAAGCACCTTTGGGACAACCATGACCCGGAGGACTGAGAATCTCCACAGACAAAAGAATATGAAAATCAATCAAAATCCCATGGTATCGTACAGCGATGTAGATTCAACTCACTTGCTCGGTTGGGAAAAGAGTATTGATGTATTCCACGGCGTTGAAATCAGCCCTGTCCAGTGGATCTTGGCTGGGAAATACCTACCGATCAAGGAAGGAAGAAAAGTTACTAATTGAATGGCGCGTACTGCAACTGCAAACATTAAATGGCACACAGATTCTATCATTTAAGCCGCTTAGCAACATTATATTTTGAATATTTTGGGTTCCCCCCCCCCGTATGTATCTTGGATTTATGTTAATGTAGTTACCTGGTATTGTTAAAAATCTAGTAAATATGGAGCCCTTAGTGCTCTCTGGGTTCCATTGTTTTCTGGCAGACATTTCATGATCCTACCAAGTAACATCATCAGTGTCGCAAGGGACCAACAAGGCAAGTGTTGTGGTTCGCCGGCCGCTGGTGCGGGCGGCTGAGGTCTCAGAGAGCGCCGACTCGAATGAGGGGCTTGCGTGTGATGCAGGGATGGGGCCAAGGACTATCAGGGAGTGGAGTGCTGCCTTCGGAGCTTATGGAGGCTGGCAGCAGTGATGCAGAGGAGCCCGAGGAACCTTTCCTTTTTCAAAGGAAAGAGCAACTGCAGCAGCACGGGCGACTCGGGAGTAAGGCTGCAAGGTGATGGCTCCTCCCTTTAAGGGATAAAAGTCAGCCCTCAGAGGTGGGGTTCTTTGCAGGAAGCAAAGAAGTTCTTGCACTTCAAGTCTTGTGGAAGTCCGGGCAATCCTGGTTTGTGTTTGGAGACTTTTGGTTTTGATTATATCCTTGCAATTTAATCTAGTGTTCTTGGCAGCCTTGCACAACCTTGGCAAGGCTTGTTCTTATCTGGGACAATTAGTTTTTAATAGAGTTTTACTGTGAATGAGCGGAATTCACTGAGAAGCATTAAAAAGGTTTTGCTTTTATCTCTATTTGGTTTGTTGGCTTGGAAGGAGGCTTGGGTCAGAACAGCAAGCTATTTGTATACAAAGAAACAGCATGCGTGGCTGGAGAATTCTGGGAGTTGTAGTCCACATACTTTCAGGTGGTCAAGACTGAGAAACACTTATGGTATCTAAGACTGATAGAGATGATAAAAATATTTTTGTTTAGTTTTATATAACTCTTCTATGACTTGGTTAAAAATAAATTTAAGTCACCACTATGTTTATTGTTACATTTAATTGACAAACATATCAACATTTACATTTCAAATTTTCCATGCCTAGTTCCCTCGAGTTCCTGGACCCGCTACCTACATAAAATGGAATGGTGTGGATTCAGGTAATGTGACCATTATGTGGGATTCAAAAATCACATAATAATAATAATAATGAAATGCCACCTGTACTGTTACGTGAAAAGGCAGCCTGGTATTTTCTTCCACAATAACCACAAGAGCAGAAAATATAACATGCTTGACAATTAGATTGGGATAGAGGAATGTAAAATTGAAAAGAAAATACAAAAGGATTGATGATTTTATATCAGGGAGGGAATCTAAGATAACTTTTTGTTGTCTATTTGTCTGTCTGCCTGTCTGTCATCCATCCATCTATCCATCAGCTAATACAATCCTATAAACAGAGGCATAGAATCAAAATCACTTGAAGTATTAGTACTGTTTTATACATCTTTAGTAAGGTCACACCTGGAATACGGCATCGGTTTTGGTCACTATATTACAGAAAAGATGTTGAGACTTGGGAAAAGTGCAAAGAAGAGCACTTTTCCCAAGTCTCAACATGTTTTTGAGAGCAACTAAGATGATTAAAGGCCTGGAGATTAAAACATATGAAGAATGGTTGCAGGAATTAGGTATGGATAGTTTAGAGAAAAAAAAGGTGACTAGAGGGGACTTGATAGCAGCATTCCAGTATTTGAGGGGCTGCCACAAAGAAAAGGGGGCTCAACTTATTTTCCAAAGCACCTGAAGGCAGGACAAGAAACAATGGAGGGAAACTAATCCAGGAGAGAAGCAACCAGGAATTAAGGAGAAACTTCCTAACAGTGAGGACAATTAGCCAGTGGAACTACTCGCCACCAGAAATCGTGGGTGCTTCATCACTGGAGGTTTTGAAGAAGAGACTGGTCAGCCACTTGTCTGAAGTGGTATGCGGCCTCCTGCTTGAGCGGGAGGTTGGACTAAATGACCTCCAAGGTCCCTTCCAGCTCTATTCTGATGGAGATACCTACCTTTATATCTACCTTGCTGGCTTGAGGGCACCTAATCAGTTAAGCTTTTTGGGGTGCTGCCCCCCCACCCACATATTTTATCCCTTGTGGAGGACCCCAATGGATTCCCCTGTACAACCCCACCTCCAAAGGGACCCCCCCAACTCCATCTGGCTGTGCCTTCTGGGAACTGGAGTCCAAAGCTCCTGGGGGTCCAAGCCCCACGGGGTCCCTGTCCCCTTATTAAGGGTCACCTCCAGGGTCCCCTCCCTAAAGAGGGAGCGCCCCCCACTTAAATATGGGCCCTCTCAGTCACCCCCCCACCCCACCCTTCCACTGGTTTAAATTAGCTCCGCCCTCGCCCAAGCCACGCCCCCTCGTCCCTCCCGGCCACGCCCCTCGTCCCCTCACCTGCTCGATGGCCAGCTGCACCTCCGGAGCCAGCTGCAAGGCGGCTTCCAGCTCGTCGCCCAAATCCAGCTCTTCGTCCTCCATCCCGGCTTCTCCTCCTCCCCGCACAGCGACGGCGGCGGCGGCGGCGGAGGAGGACGAGGAGGCGCGGCTTCCGGGTGCAGCGGCATTCTGGGATGCTGGAGGACCGGCAAATGGCGCACGCGCGCTCGTGGGATGGAGCGCCGTCAAATGAGCGCCGCGCCCTCTCGAGGTTCCTGTCTGGAGAAAGGGGAGCCGCTAGGTGGCGCTGGCGCTGCGTTCGGGTTTTGTTAGTGAGAGTTGTTTATTTTTTTATTTTTATTATTATTTTTATTATTATTGTTGTTGTTGTTGTTGTTGTTGCCATATTTTATTATTATTTTTATTTTTAATTAAAGCTTTAAGTTTCTGGCCCCAGTGTCTCTGAGCAAGTACAGAGGACTTTCTGTTTAAAGAGTGCCAGGGTAAAAAAAGGCACAGTACTGCATTGTAAGTGGAGCAGAGTCTCTTTGGATAGGGACTGACAATTAGCATACATACGTTTAATTTGGTTGTAAATGCTCCAATACTGGAAGTTTTTAAGAAGAGATTGGATGGTCATTTGTCTGAAATGCTATAGGGTTTCCTGCCTGAGCAGAGGGTTGGACTAGAAGACCTCCAAGGTCCTTCCAACTCTGTTATTCTACTTTCCTTCCTTCCTTCCTTCCTTCTCCAAATCTGGAGGCTTTTAAGAAGAGGCTTTTAGGAATTTGTCTGAAATGCTGTAGGGTTTCCTGTCTGACCAAGGGGTTAGACTATAAGACCTCCAAGGTCCTTTCCAACTCTGTTCTTCTATTATATTCTAATAATCAATTAATAACTACCAGTATTTAATAAACAATTAAAAAAAATAAATGAAAAGCACAGTCCAATGCAAAGAAGAGCAACAAAGATGACCAGGGGACTGGAGGGTAAAACATACAAAGAAAGGTTGCAGGAATTGGGTAGGTCTAGTTTAATGAAAAGAAGGACTAGGGGTGATATAGCAAAGTTCCAATATCAAAGAGGCTGCCACAAAGAAGAAATGATTAGAAATAGATTAACAGAGTTGGAAGGGACCTTGTAGGTCATCTAGTCCAGCCCCCCGCCCAAGCAGTAGACCTGACATCATTTCTGACAGACGGCAGTCCAATCTCTTCTTGAAAGCCTCCAGTGATGAAGTTCCCACATCTTCTGAAAGCAACTTCTGTTCCGTTGGTTGATTGTTCTCACTGTCAGAAAATTTCTCCTTATTTCCAGGTTGAATCTCTCCTTGGTCAGTTTCCTTCCATTATTCCTTATCTGGCCTTCCGGTGCCTTGGAAAATAGCTTGACCCCTACCTCCTCTCTGTGGCAGCCCGTCAAATATTGGAAGGCTGCTCTCCTGTTTCCCCTGGTCCTTCTCTTCCCTGGACCAGCCAGGCCCAGTTCCTGCAACCGTCCATCATATGTTTTAGCCTCCAGTCCCCTCATCATCCTGGTTGCTCTTCTCTGCACTCTTTCCAGAGTCTCAACCTTTTTTTATAGTCTAGTCACCAAAACCAGGTGCAGTACTTTAGGTGTGGTCTTACTAAGGCTTTATAGAGGGGATTTGACTTATTCTGTGATGACCCAGGGTGGCATAAACACAGTCACAAAAAACAGGTGAAGCCCCTCTTATTCTTTCACTTTGCTTCCAAGCTCCAAATATCCTTGATTGGAGACAAAAAAAACTCCCACACAATCGGTTACAAGAAGGAGGAAATGCCGTTTAAATTATAAAGAGTAAAAAAACAACACAAACCAGGCAAGATAAAGGCTTGAAGACATCCAGATATCAGAACACACACTGGGAAGGACGCTAAACTCAGAGAGGAACAATAAACTAGAGATATTTGCATGCTTTCTTTCCAGCACTGGCCAGTATGCATGTCTGTCCTCTTATCCAGTTGTCACAGCTGCAGCCCATGAAGAGGATCAAGGCCCTCTCCTCCCCAGTAGACCAGTCTCTTCCTTATCCTCTCCTCCCTGCGTATCCTAGGATGGAGAGGGGATGGGTCTGGGTCTTGCTCTGACTGCCCAGCCAGCCTCTGCCCTTCCCCAGCCTCCTCCACAACCTCGGGAGCCACACCTCCACTCCCTGTCAGCTGTTCCTCCTCTCCCTCAGAGTCAGTCTCCAACTGGGGCGTGACATATTCTCTAAGGCATCAAGAAGGGAGAACAAGAAGCAATGGATGGAAATTAATCAAGGAGAGGAACAATCTGGAACTAAGGAGGAATTTCCTAACCGTGAGGAGAATTAACCAGTGGAACAACTTCCCTCAAGAAATTGTGGGTGCTCAAACACTGGAGGTTTTTAAGAAGAGATTGGACAGCCACGTGTCTACAACAGTACAGCGTCTCCTGCTTGAGCGGGGGGTTGGACTAGAAGACCTCCAAGGTCCCTTCCAACATTGTTGTACTGTTCTATTCCTTTCAGTCCTCCTCATTAAGCTAGACATACCCAATTCTGGCAATCGTTCTTAGCCTTCGGTTCCCCTAACCATCTTTGTTGCTCTTCTCGGTACTCTTAGTGGCCAGCCACTTGAATGTACAGGAATTCATATCTTGCTGAGCTTCACTAAATATGTTATTTATTTGCCTTTGCTCCACCTGTGCAAACCAAGACATGTATAAAAGATGTCTGGGTGGCTGACATACGGTAGGATGTAAACAATGTCCCAAGACGGCTAAGCCTTTTCCTGATCTGCCGTGTTTGAAAAGTCGGGCTGTTGTTGCCTGAACTTGCAAATCAAGTTGCACAAATTATATTGCAAGGAACTGCAGAGCCATGTCTCTTTTGTCACACAGGCTAGCCCTAAAAGTCCCGGGGCATACATGTCCAGACAAATTTATTTCCTTGTTTGCTTTATTTGTTTGATTCAATTCAAATGACTAGGAGGCTGGTACATTTAGGTTCTGTTTGCTGTGTTGACCTGAGACAGTCCTCCAAACCATTCATGGAAGACAAGAAGGAGGAGGAGGAGGGGAGGAGGAGGGGGAGGAGGGGGAGGAAGAAGAGGAGGAGGAGGAGGAGAAGAAGAGAGGGGAGGAAGAGGAGGAAGAAGAGAAGAAGAGGAGAGAATGGAGGAAGAGGAGGAGAGAGTGGAGAAAGGAGGAAGAGGAGGAGAAGAAAAGGGGAAGAGAAGAGGAGGAGGAGAGTGGAGGAAGAGAAGGAAGAGA